TGGAACAATCATCACAGTCAAGCATATACTAACAGAATGTCATCGATTCAGTGAAAGGCGCATTGAATTAAAACTACCTGATACACTATACGAGACGCTATCACCCACTCCCGAGACGACCAATAAACTCCTCAATTTCGTCAACTCAACAGAACTGCGTCAACTGATTTAAATATTCAAACTTAGATTAAAATGTAAATCCTTAACTATAAGTAATAAGTAGAAAGCAAATAATATGTAAGTAATTAATGTAAATTTAATATGTAACGCCGGCTAATAATTATGTAGTTGATGCCATAAACAATTAATTTAAAAAAAAAAAAAAAATAAATAAATATTATCATTAGGTATTATAGATTGTTTTTAGTTTACAAATTTTCTTCAAAAGTTCTGTTATAGCTAAAATTTGTATATATTATAATACAATGGACGCCGCTTAAAAGACTCGGGGATATAAGTTTCAGCCACTTAATAAACTCAAAATCTTCTGGAACGATCCGGAAATATCCTAAGATATTGTGAAAAACTCGGTTATAAGACTCAAATTTCGAGAAGAAGATCTTAAAAAAGATGGTAGAAAATAAATATTTTTGGTTAAAATTTAGAAATAAATTTGTTTGCTAATAAAATAACATATTTTTATAGAATCTTCGTGCTTTATAATGTGTGCACGTACAATTTTTAATCCTATTTTTTTCATTTATCCACTAATAAGTATCTAATGTGTAATATGTATAAGTAAGTCTTAAAAGAAACGTACGCTGTATTATTTATATACATTATAGGTATGTCAAAAACAAAAACTACTGTTCATCATTCAGTAATCAGTATTATACTTTTATGACTAAACCTTAAATTTATAATCTAATTAATAGTTATTTTTAGATATTTTACACAAAATACTATTATATTTAAATAAAATTACACTTATTAGAGTTTTAATAAGTTTTCCTGTATAATGGATTACTAAAAAGGTTTTTCTTAGCGGTGAACTATATCAAAATCAGTAAGTCAAACAAACATTGTAACATTATTTTTTGAAAATTATGAATTATCATTATTGTTATTATTATTATTAAAAATTAAATCAAAATATAATTAATAATTATACTACTATCCTAATTTTATCTGTAATGCATACATGTATTTTACTTATACCATTAAACTCGTCGTGACTTCGTTTAAACATTTCTCGGTGCTATGTATTTAAACA